TACAAATAGGCGCAAATTCCACCATTTCCCCAGCTTGAATCTCGTTTAATCCATAAACACGTGCAATACCATCTCCAACGGACACCACTCGACCGATCTCATCCAATTGAAAACTAGTGACAAAGTTGCTAATTCTACTTTCTAATAGACTTGCTAGTTCCGCAGCTCTTACAGAGAATTCCATTGATTTTTTGATTGATTTCTACCTTATTCCTCCTTCCTTATTTATAAAAATAGAAAAAAGAGTATATAATTATTTATACTTTTATAAAAGTATATAATTCTGAATTTTTCCATTTCCATTTTAGGAGAATGCCACTTGAATTTAAGTGTAGTGTTCTTCTGTGTGTAGAACATTGGCTCATGCGTCCAATGGGTTGCACCTGACTGTACCCAGTTCAGTTGGAACAGAAGCACCCCCGCTCATTGGTGGGGGAGCTGACTGAGATCTCCATAGACTATGGTAATCATGTGATGCCCGTAGTAAGTCAAATAGAAGATTCCAATTCTATTTTTCCGTTCTAGGGACAATGTTGTCTTTCACTATCACATGAGAAATGGAGAAATCAAAATTGTCCGTCTAGCTTTCAAGACAAATCCCTTTCTATACGCAATTTCGATAAGAGTCTAGCCAGCTCGTCTCTGCCTTGAGGCCAATAACCAGTGACTCTTTTGTTAACCACATGTAGAATATCTTGTGTAGTCGGGTAGGCTAACTAGAATCTATCCTTCCTTTAGTGTGTAACCGATTTATATATGTTAAGCTCCCCTTTTTTCTCTCCTTTGCTTTTGCCCCTCTTTCCTGTAAAGTAGTTACTACTTGAGCCACAGAAGATGCTTTTTGCCCAACAGCCACTTTGGTCATTAAAAAGTTTCATTCATTATTATATATAATTACAATTAGTATGCCCAAGCCCGACAAGGAGAGAATAAGGGGTCAAAGACAGAGGGTCTCAGAGAAATTCAACTAGTAACACACTTTCCAAATCTCAATCTATGATTTAATGAACACAGTTCCTCTCCTGCTGCTTATTGACGAGTGATTAGCTTGGCATTCTCTAAAGAAAGAGGGACCTTCTCTGGTCACTGACACCATCTTTCTTCGATTGAGCCCCCCTTATATGATCCCCTACCCCTCCGCCGAGGGAAGAGGAAGAAAAAGTACTCCAACTACAAAATGTTTAAAACTTACTTGCCCGGCACACAGCTCTATGCTTCACATACCTCGTAAGAAAGTATCCAGACTCTCTCTCATCAGTTTGAGATTCCAAGGCCAGGCGCTAGCGCCCAGGCTTACGAGCAAGGTCTTTAAAGAATTGGTGGGCTCTTATTTGCCAGATAAGAAGATCTTTTGCCAATTCTAACAATCTCACTCACCTCCTGATTCAATAGATACTGATTCTAGAGCAAGTTATATCCGTATCCAAGACTACATAAGTCATTTTCAACAAAAGGTTATAGGAAAAGAGCTAGGAAAGAAGGCGGCATAAACTCTCATTTCTTGTCCTCTTTTCCCCGGTCGCCTGCTCTGTTGTATGTAAACCAACTGCCTTATTATATTCCTTCCTATGAAAGAACTCAAGCTTAAGCAAGTCCAGTCCACCTCTATTTAGCTCTCTCTTATAGCGTATAGCACCACTTTCTCCTATCAAGACTTTCTCTCCTTTAAAAGCCCTTTTCTAAAGGCAAAAGGCCTTAATCATCAGACAGAAAGACCCGATAAAGACAAGAAAAAGGCGTTGAGCAAGGAAATGAAGGCAAAGAGGAGGACAGATCCTTAAGAGCTAGCATCACCGGCACCAGCAGCAAGCCCATTTAAGGGACCTGGCTACTAACCATTTTGAAATCAAAAATGAAATCATCGCGGAGATGAAATCTCTTTACCCAGATCAAGAATGGGACTTTGTGAAACTCAATAGGGATAAATTCTTTGGGGGCCGACAACGCGATCGAGAGTATTCCCTGAAAGAGCTCTCTAAAATGCTTGCCAATTAGAAATCATTTTGAAAGAATGCTTCGCGTGCCAAAACATTTCTTTCTCGATGAGACGAAATTACTTGGGGAGTTAGCCCTTTCAGTTGCACCTCCGTGGGAGAATACTCTTTCTATTCTACGATCGGTTATTAAAAGAAATTGTTTTTATAAATAATGAATGTTATGTTAGCTGATCTGGTAATAACTTTAATCTTTAGGCAAGTCTTTAATTTCGCTCTGAAGAAAGGAAAGAAGAGATCTGCCATTGTTATAATGCTTGGGATTAGGCTAGCTACTTGCTTTCTATTTAATGATTATGATCAAAGAATTTTCTTCCCCTCAAAGAGCCCTTCTCTCTCGTACCCTACTCGATGGAGCATGCATTAGGCCAGGAAAGGGCAAGAAACTGCTTCATGCGAAGGGGCGAAGCGCTGGTTCCTCAATCGCTGTTCTCACGCGCGAAGTGCAGCAAGCAATTACGCGTTGCTTTCAAGGTTGCTTTAGTGATATTGTATTCTTCCTCAAGCTTTGAGTGGCTCTTAGCTGGTCGGGTTGCCGGCCCGCAGACCCCGTTTCGGTGCCAATACCTTAGACGAGGAGTGGAAACAATACCACTAGAGATAGCTAAGGAATTGAACCTTAGTATAACCCTTTTTTTGGGGGAATCAAGTCTATCCTCTCTTTCTTTTCTATACCCACCCTTCTCTTTATTGGCGGTAGTTCAGATGGATGGCATATCTCGGTGACCATTGTTGAGCAGGGGTCGCGCTCTCTTTGAATGAAACCTATCTCAGCGAATGAGATAGACGCAGGGGTAGAGGAAACTCAACTAGAAGACTAGTAAACTTACATCTCGAGTGAGATATATCGAAGAATGAACTTAGCCTTAAACCACAAACGGGGTCCTTTTGGCAGCCGATTCTGGTTCTATATCTATCCTCCGCCCTGGCTTTGTGCCCATTTCTTCAAAAAAAGACGAATCGCAACGAAAGCATTAGATAGATCTCCGTAGATCGAGTGGGGGGGGAAAAACAAGCCATAAGAAAAACCTTCCGAATCTCGATTCCAGGAAACAAGGGCAACAAGAAGGCGGCCATTACCCGGGGAAAAACTACGCTTACTGCCTCGGGTGCCCTGCATGAGACAAAAGACAAACGAATCTCTGGTCTGTCAAACCGGGGGAGAGCCACTACAGCTTCATCACCTCTCAATTTCCTCGCTTTGATCTCTTTCTCGGAAATTCCATTTTCTTTTGATATAGTCTCTCGCTTGGCTTCTTCTCACGAATTGGATTTGAACCTTAGCACTCCTAGGGATAGCTGAACAGAGCAGAACGACTTCTCGCTATGTTGTGCCTAGTAGTACCCGGAGCATTGACAGAAGTCCCTCAAGCATTGAAAAAAGAACAAAGACAAGGATTATACCTATAGGAGAATCCTGACTAGTCTCATCGACTACTCAAAACTCATATCATACACAGGGAAGGAAAGACATTGAGACTTAAACGGATACCAAGCCGGAAGAGCACTGGATAGAGACTATAGGGTCTCATCCCTGCTTCAACCAGAGATGGGGAGACGGCATCGTAGCATGAAATGAGCCAATGCCAAGTGCTCTCCTTGTCTGCTGCCCCTCTTCCTCCAAAGCATTGAATAAATGAGGAGAGTGACCCTAGAAGAGGAGGCTTCCTCTGACATTCTACTCATACTTTACTCTAAACTCTGAGAATCTCAACTCATATTGAAGCAGGGAAAGAAGCCCTTTCTCTTTTTCTTTCTATACATACGCAATTTCGTAAGAGTCTAAAAGGCAGGGTGCACCTCAGTCTTTACTTTATAGTATTCAATTCCAGCGGCTCAAAACTCAATATTCGACCGATCGCTTAGATTAAATCTTAGCAGAGATTTCCGAAAAAGGAACCCAAAGTTCCTTATAGAAGGAATCAAAGATGGATGGCTCTCTTCCGAGCGAACAGGAAGTCAAAGCGCAGGTGAATGATGTTAGAAGGTGCAAAATCAATGGGTAAATCAATGGGTGCCGTAGCTCCTTCAACAAATTCTTATTTTACAATAGGGCCGCGAAGTTATGACCCAATGATGGCCTTTTTTTGATATCCGATCGAAGAAAGAAGGTTTCTTTCAGTAATCCGTTTATGGTAGGTGTGGGTAAGCTGGAGGGGACCACAGTAGGGAGAGTAACTAGCTGATAAAGTTAGTGAGGTTCCTGCTATGGTGAGGGATAAGATCTTTCACTCTAGTAGAAAGAAGACAGGTGGGAGTGAGCCGAGCGAGAGCACAGCAAGCTCTAGGGATGGGCTGTCGGTCTGGTCCCATTTTAGACATAGTCAGAAGAGTAGCAATGCCGGATTAAGAAGGGGTAAAGCCAGAACTCTGCACAAACGAGAGAAGAAGTTGAGTACGACTATGATGTATAAGATAAGAGGGGAAATGAGATGTTTGTGAAATAGCAAGCGTTGGCTTTCAAGCTAAGGTATTAAGTAGTAGCGCTGGGGGTCTGGGGGGCACCCCCGGGATAAGGAAACCTCAAATCCTCATTCTTACCCGGGAAAGAACTCTTCTTCCCCCTACGGAGAGTGAAGTGACCCATGGGATGATGGGGCACGAGCGCTAATAAGATAGCTTTCAGAAGCATTTATCTCTTATTAAAGAAGCTCAAAACTTACCAGATAGAAGAATTACACCATGAATAGCGGTATAATTTTTCTTCGACTTGGCATCGATCAGTACTTGGTAAGGTTTTATGTGCCTCTTCTCTTGTGCGGAACTCCCCCTTACTTAGGAGTTGGAGGGAGGCATCACCTAATAGCTCAATTGTGGAACCTACTGAAACGGCTCGGCTAAAGCACGACACTGAGTTCATCTACCAAGAGAAAGAACCAAAACAACTAATAGCCTAGCCCCATAAGTTCATGCTTTTTGAGAACTCCCAACTATTATCTAGAAAGATAGTGTAACTTTGAAGAAAGCAGCTCTACGCAAGCTAATTAAAGAATGTTTATTGGTACAGGGACATGTTCCTTCACGCCACCTGTAGTGGGTAGAGAAAAGGATGAAGCTGCATTTACGCTATGAAACTAGCGCACCAAAAACAACCAATCCATTCACACGACTTCTATTTCGAGATCAACGCGCTACGAACGGAGTCAATAAAGAATCCACGACTGATTGAATCAGCATGTATCTCAGGTACTAGAAAGGCTGTGGTTCTCTTTCTGGAATTCAAAATGCTAGGATATCATCAGCTTCACGAGCCGCAAGCTACACTACCTTCTTCCTTTGGACGGTAGAACGACCTATTTCTGCCGATCCATTTGCAATTGAAAGCAATTTGTCCGCGTCCGCACCGAGAACAGGTTACGGGCAAGGATCAAAAGGAATTTTATAAAGGTATGCCGCTTCACGAAGAACTGTGATCCATAAAGAAGCACTGCAGCACTACCAACCCAGTCAAAGAAACAGATTCGGCACCAACTAAACGAAGTCCCGGTTTTCTATCTTCAATCAATACGTAGTAGCCTTTGAATCTCCCAGGCAGAAAGGCGTTCTTAACGTCAAGTTGGCGAATAGGCCAGCCTGTTAGAGGACACTGTGGGCCCTAGTTTACTTGTTCTCTTTGATTCCTCCTTCCTGACTGAAGAGATTCCAATCTCAAGAGCTAAAACAAAGCCCATGATAAAGAAGAAGGAAGGCTAAACCACTCAACTGGG